AAGGCATCTCTTCTTGATTCCCCCATAAAGATGACATTTGATACCCTTAATGATGAGTTTATATATTAATAAAAACGTGGTTTGGCGAGCACTAGAGCAGTTTCTGGATCGGCAGAGACCCCCTCTCTAACTTCTGATGCAAAGCCAGTGATTTTGCTCTATAAGCAGACCTGAAGCCATCCAGTTTAGAAAAGAGCTTCATGGGTTACTTCACAGAGTAAAGAGTGAACAGAGCCTGACAACCAGCTGCAGCAGATGATCAGCTCAAGTCTTAGCTTCTGTAATGACAAACATCCATCTTAGTCATGTTTTTCACCGAGATGACCTCTGACCTCCTTGAGGCAATTTAGAGCAGGTGGATTGTTCCATTCACTGTGAGAACCAAATATTATGCCACCATCTATTAACGAGTATTTATGATCTCTCTGTACCTGCCTGCAGGGAGAGAAACTGGATCCTGCACTATCAGGTATCTCTGAACTCCCATGACAGACCCCCGCACCTCCCTCTGCTATTGACCAGCCGGGTCCGCTCAATCACCTGCTTTGCCTGTCAGGAACAGATAGCCCAGACTGATGGACACCCAGGGCCATGACTAGTTGAACTACTTCCCTTCACATTTTCTGCCAGTAACAGAAAGGCCACTGGAAGAGGGGGGAGTCCTAGTTAGCTTTTTCGGGGGATTTTTGAACACGCAGCAAATTGGGCCATCAAACTGAGCGCAGATCACGCCTCCGGCCTCGTTCTGAGATGTTAATCATCAAAGCTCTCAGCATCCACTGAATTTAATAAAGACATCAGGACATTTGTTTGAAAGATTACACATCTAAAACCACAATTAGAAAAGAATAACAATAACAGGCACTCACCAAAGAGGGTTATGACTCACAGTTTTCATTTCTAAATATCAAACAGAAGGTGATGATTTAAGCAATCAAACTGGCAAACGCGGAGATGTTGTGCAAGCCAGACTGAAGATGTTAGTCTCGAGATTGTGTTTAAAGATGCAGGCATATTGTGAAGACTTCTGCTGCGCTGGCAACCACGGGCCCCATTAAATATGTGACAGAACTGAAAGCAGACATGGTGTTTTGACTAAAGGCACAGGATTACTCTAATTCTGAGATAACCGGGGAACTACAAAAAGAGGCGGGCTATGAGAACAGATCTAAATGCAAAGAGATGCAAAGAGAGGGCTTAAACTGCTTTCTGTGTACCTATATTTACATCCACATGAATGCAGAAGCATACATTATACAGCACTCTCATATTGTCAGAAAATTCAAAGAACATTTTCCAGACTTACCTGGCTATGTAGGTCATTTCCCCCCTAACCCTAATAACTGCTTGTGCTCCGCTTGGCAGCAAGAACTGTAATCAAGTGTTTGCAATAATTGGAAATGAATCTTTCATGTGCTGTGGAGGATTTTTGTCCTAGTCTTCTTTGCACGAAAAGCCACATTGGAGAGTTTTCTACCATGGATGGTGCCTTTAAGGTCATGCCAAAGCATCTTAATCTGATTTGAGTCCAGACTTTGACTTGGCCACTCCAAATGTAAAACATATACTTAAAAAAATGACAAAAAAAGGGCAAAAAAAAGCAGGAAGGCGGAAAAAATGCTTTTTCACAGCACTGCATGTAGAACCTCAAACATGTGCAGGTCTACAGGAAGAAGAGCAAAAACAACAATCTGTACAGTTAGAAGAAACTGTACAGATTAAACACAGAGTGCGCAATATAAAGCATCACTGCTGGAGTCAGTGTAGAAATGTGTATGTGTGTGTGCATCTAGCTATAGCACAACATCATGCTGTGTCAATGTTTGAATGTGACTTCCGGCAAAGTACTTTTGAGTAAGACTAAAAAAACGAATCCTAAAGTCTGGACGCAAAGAGAAAAGGCATCTGTTTCAGTTAACAGACCTATAAGTATCACCACGCCATCATCACGATACAGGAGGATCTAACCACATCCATCCTTAACGTAGACCTCGACAGGTCTCCACTTAAAATCAGCAGTTTACCTGAACATGCCACAGCCAGCCAGGACATTCATACCTGGGATCTGCTCCCTGTCAGCACAGCTAGCTGTTAAGAAGCTTTACTTGTTGCATTGATATAAAGTTAACAAATGCAACATTTAGGCGCCCTGTTTTACGACTATATATTCCTATTTTAAGCCTTTAAGAACAATGAAGTGGCTTTAAAATTGCCTGAGGCCAACAAATGTTAGAAAAGAACAAGAAATAAAATTGTTCCCAAGAATCTATACTTCTTGTGGGTATTCCTAAAGGAAAGACAAGGCTGTAGATGTCTGAGAGGGATCGTTGAAGATCATTGATGCTTTTTTTCCCAGGAAATTGATTGCTTCTTTTTTTCTGAAGCAGGTTAGGTCTGCAGCATAAGTTACCATGGTGATGTGCCCTGGTAAGAAGTGAACAACATTTGTAAGCATGAAAACCCAGGGTTAAACCTGCCTCATAGCACAGGCAGTACAGTAGAGTGACAGAAAAACAGATGGATGAATAAACAGCTACTGTAACCAAATGATTTTCTCACACAGCATCTGTTTCTTTACATTTCATTTTTCCAGCAGCTGCAAAGCACAAGTCCTGATACCCAGCAGTCATAAAGATTTGGGACACAGCACATCCTCACATCTGTGATGCAAGCAGTGTTTAAAATACATTTTAATGGGCTATATTTCTGTAAACATGAGGTCTTGGTGATTCCTGTGACACGACATGTGTTTATTGAAAGGGAGTGATGCAGTGTGGCAAGTCCTTAAAGGGATCTTTCCAAATTTGGATAAAAAGATGATGTCACAGTGGCGTGATCAGGGTCATTATCTTGATTTAGGAAGTAAAAATAAGCACCCCTCAGCTTCTGAACTTTCAAATTGGGCCCTTTTTAAAAATGATCTTAAAGCTTTAATGAGGAGATACAGAAAACGGGCAAATTAGATGGAAAATGAGTCCTAATGGGGAAAAAAAGGTTTCAGACTTTGATGTCTTCTACAGGGCTGCTGTCACATTGGATGGTGTTTATGCTGCAAGGAGAGCAAAATCAAAAAGACAGTAGAGCTGACTGCCGGTTGCTTTACTTTGGATGTGCATATGTGTGGAGGCTCCACTCCCTTTCACCACATCAGCAATGCCAATAAAAAACTGAGAGGAGAGGAGAAGAGTGGAAAGACCAAGCTATAGAAAAAAGATGCGAGAGACGAGGATGAAAGGAAATATGATGAGATAAGGCAAGACTAGAATAAATGTCGAGCGGGAGAAAAAGAGAAGAGGTGGCAAGAAAAGTTGCAGGACAGCAAAGGAAGAGAAGAAATGGAGAGAAAAAGAAACAATGTGGGGGTAAGCTAAGAAAAGAGGAGAAGGAAAGAAGGGCAGGGAGGAAAGTAAAATAACAGGAGAGAACCAAAAGGGGGAGATTAGAGCCAAATGGGGGTACAAGAGGGCATGATATTGATTTAACAAAAAGAAGGAAACAAAAGATAAAAGTAGGCGATAAAGCAATACTGCAGAGGAAGTGAAAGATTAAGAAAAAAGAAGGAAGGTGGGAAAGAGAAGAGGAAAGGAAACAACATGAGATAAATGAAAGAAACACATGTGAGACAAAAAAAGGAGAGGAGAAAGTGAAGGAAGGAAAGGAGAGAACAAAAAGGGTGTAGGCAAGGACAAGTAAGGCAAAAGAAGTAAATGAAGGAGGAAACAAAAGACACTAAGAGATGATAAAACAGTGAGAGATGAAAGGAAGAAATGAATAGGAAAGGATGTAGTGGAAAAGAGTGGGAAGAAAAAAGAAAGACCAGATTACAAGAAAGAGGGAGAAGGGGAGGCGCAAAAAGGGGAGGACAGAGGACGTACAAGAAAAGGATAAGATGGATGAGGAAGGAGGAAAGGAGAGGTAAAAAAGAAATAAAAAGAAGATAAGAGAGACCTGATGAGGAAGAGGAAATTAAATGTCTGACAACTTAAGACATCACAGATGGAAAAGACAAGACGAAGAAATATTAAAAGAGGGAGGGAAAAAATCCATGATGAGAAGAGTGTTGGAGAAAAGAAGAGGAAAGGAGGACGAAACAAAAGACTGAAGATAAAACAAGCTATCAGACTGATGAGGGCATAAAGAGGAAAAAAGAAAGAAGGAGAAGGAAGAAGCAGGGGCAGGAAACTGAGGGAAGGAGGTGAAAAAGAAGAACCCATAAAAGGAAATGAGGAGAGGAGAGGAGACCGGTCAGGCCACACCTAAACATATACTCTGGAATGAAAAGACACACACACACACACACACACACACACACACACACACACACACACACACACACACACACACACACACACACACACGCACACCTCACTAACAGAGAGTCTGGTGCACTTTCTGCCACACTGTGATGCTGTATCAGCTATCAGAAGACACAGCAGCAGGCCTGCCCACTAAAATACCAGTCCTCCCAGTAAGATGCCTGCTGGTGTAAACCACTCAAACCACAAAGCCACTGCATCAGGCGGCAGCTTTATGAAAAAGCACAGTCAGCCAGTGAAGTGAACACCACGTTTAAGTCCAGCTGAAAACATCAGAGTTACTGTTCCTGTCGTGTAGCTCACTGAAACAGCGAGTACGAGGGGGAGACTTTCCATTCACTTGCACCGCATCTCATCCCAGACATCCAGGCAAGGAAAACAATGTGCATGTGTGAGAGAGCCACACATGCACACACACACACGCACAAACGCACACGGAGAGAGTGAGACAGAGAACGAGAGCATGTCTGACCATTGGTTCATGCAAATGTGAGTCAAATGTTTTACCCCGGGCAGGCACACAGACTAAGATTTAGGCGCGGCTGGAACACACACACACACACACACACACACGTGCTGCTGTTACAAAAGGATCACTCGCGATTTACCAACATCTCTACCCCGGTATAAAAGTATTAGTCCCTGCTACTACTGCTGCTGCTGCTGAGGAAAGAGCCGACTTACTTGTTGGAAATCGCTCCCACATGGGCTTCTCCTCCTTCTCTGTCTTCCTGCACTGAGCGCTAATGAACGCTCTTCAAGGCGGTGAAATCCAGCGTCCCCGGACCAGCTGCTGGCCGCGGAACAACCGACCTAGAGCCGAGCGAGCGAACGAGCGAGCGGGCGGGCGTCTGGCTGCCTGACTGAGCGGCCGGGAGAGTTGTCTTTTCAGCACCACACCACTTTGAACAGCTCCCGCTGACGTCACTGCCTGGTTACGACGCCACGCCCACTTCCCTAGCGACTGAAAGACAGAGAGAGAGAGAGAGAGAGAGAGAGAGAGTGGGTATAGGTGTTTGATTTATTGATCAATTAACATCTATTAAAGTACAGTGAAGTTGGGTTTTGGGTTACTCCAAAAAATGTATTTTTAAAATAGAGACTTTACCTTATAAAGTAAGGTAAAGTTGTTTTATTGTTTGTTTTATTACAGGAGCAAATCACAGTCAAGGTGACGTTGGACAGTTTCTGAAGTAAAATCTATGTGAGAATTCTGCAATAGCAAAGATGGGGTACAACCGCAATATTCAGATATGTTTATATCATATTTTGGCATAAAGTCAGCAATTTTTGAAAGATTTCATTTGTTGAATTTATGCATGTGTATTTTTGCATATGTAGTCTGCACTGGTAAAAGGACTTTGTGCCTCAAACCTGATTACTGCCAGACATGCTGAGTACAAGAAATCACTTAAATACAACCTGTCGACTAAGTGAAGCAAAAAAATCTCAAAAAGCAACAGCTCATGCCACGATCTAAGGAAATACCTGAAAAGTCAATGACATCTATCTGGAAAGGGGTACAACACTATTTCTAAGGCTTTAGGAGTTCAAAAGCCTTAAATAGGAGCCGTTATCCACAAATGGAGAAAGCTTGGAACAGTGGTGAATCTTTCCAGTCTACCAACATTCCTCAAAAAGCACACAGACGACTAATCCAGGAGGTCTCAAAAGAAGCCAGTGTCATATTTAGGAATGTAACAAAAATGAGAACCCAAATGCAGAACAACACTGGAGAGCAGACGGGCTTAAAAACTGTATGACACAACAAGGAGCACAAAGGTAAACTAAGGCCACTTATACACACAATAATGAGTGAGTGAGAAGGACAACGAAAAGAAAGAATGCATCACTAAACAGAAACTAGGTGGCAAAACTAATAAACTCAAATACAGGATTACTAAAAATAATAACCCCAAGATAAAAATAAACCCTGGAAACTTTGAGTTCATGATTCAACAATTAGTCAGAGACGGGGCTAAAATAGCTTTAAATGGAGAGTTCAGGGAGAAAACCATTGCTGACAAAAATAACTCCGTGTCTCGTCTCACGTTTTCACAAAACATCTTCGTAATCCACAACTCTTTTGAGAAGATATTTTTTTTGGATGTCAAGACAAAGGTTGCACTTTTTGGAAGGTCTGATTCCTTCCACCGTAAAACTAACACAACATTTCATTACGAGAACATCAGACCAGCAGTCAAATATGATGGTGGTAGTGTGATGGTCTGGGGCTGCGTTGCTGCTTCAGGACTGGGATGATTGGCCTCAATTGGTGGAACCATTAATTTTGTTTAGGAGAATGTATGGACATCAGCTCAAGCCCTGGTGCTTAAACACACTTGGGTTATGCATCAAGAAAATGACCAGAGACACACCAGTAAGTCCATCTCTGAGTCTAAACCGATTGTCGTTCTTGCAAGTAGAGTATAGCTCGACCAGTTATTAGGATCAGGGAGCGCACAGGTAGGTGTGGATAATTTTTTTCCCCTAATAAATGAAATATCAATTTGAAATGCATTATTGTATCTTTGTGTAATATTAAAAGACTGTTACTCTGAGTAAAGATGCCTTTCTTAGCATGAAATCATGGCTGGAGGCAGTACATGCACGTCTACAGCTCTGGATTGGTTGTATCCAAAGCACAAACCTGTGCTTCAGAGACATGATTTGGACATGCAGCCTTAAAATTATATATTTATAACACAAGTCAAAAAGACTGCTTGACATCTCTCACATTTATGCATTTGGCCCTCTGTAAGTACACCGCATAGACACTTTACATCGCCACAGGGTTTCAACTTCACTGGCACTTTAAAACATCAAGAAAGTTTGTGGAAAAGACAAAAATTGATCCAAAATCTGATGCAAATACATGCTCGAGCAAGCTGAAAACACACTTTTCCACAGTTTTTGGAAAACACTGGCATTTGTGCAAGAAATGCAGAGCTGAACATTCCCAAATTTTTGGTCTTCTAACGCAGCACACCACAGGCTTCATACACCTGCAGTAATTTATTATCACTCTAAGTCTATCAGCACTGACAGTTGGCACATTAAAGTTTCTCCAGATGTTCCAGATGAGGTTCAAATGTAGCCGACCGAGTGAACACCAGTGAGCAACACAACTGTTTGCATTTGGTCACAGGAAACCTTCATCCCAGTCTCAAGACAGTCTTTGTTCACTGACCTCTGTATTCTTCCTTTCTTTGGTTTTACTAAAAACCAAGCAATTACTTTTAAACACAGACATAAATTGTTTATTCTTGATTAACAGGGTCATATATACAGGGAGTGCAGAATTATTAGGCAAGTTGTATTTTTGAGGAATAATTTTATTATTGAACAACAACCATGTTCTCAATGAACCCAAAAAACTCATTAATATCAAAGCTGAATGTTTGTGGAAGTAGTTTTTAGTTTGTTTGTAGTTTGAGCTATTTTAGGGGGATATCTGTGTGTGCAGGTGACTATTGCTGTGCATAATTATTAGGCAACTTATCAAAAAACAAATATATACCCATTTCAATTATTTATTTTTACCAGTGAAACCAATATAACATCTCCACATTCACAAATATACATTTCTGACATTCAAAAACAAAACAAAAACAAATCAGCGACCAATATAGCCACCTTTCTTTGCAAGGACACTCAAAAGCCTGCCATCCATGGATTCTGTCAGTGTTTTGATCTGTTCACCATCAACATTGCGTGCAGCAGCAACCACAGCCTCCCAGACACTGTTCAGAGAGGTGTACTGTTTTCCCTCCTTTAAATCTCACATTTGATGATGGACCACAGGTTCTCAATGGGGTTCAGATCAGGTGAACAAGGAGGCCATGTCATTAGTTTTTCTTCTTTTATACCCTTTCTTGCCAGCCACGCTGTGGAGTACTTGGACGCGTGTGATGGAGCATTGTCCTGCATGAAAATCATGTTTTTCTTGAAGGATGCAGACTTCTTCCTGTACCACTGCTTGAAGAAGGTGTCTTCCAGAAACTGGCAGTAGGACTGGGAGTTGAGCTTGACTCCATCCTCAACCCGAAAAGGCCCCACAAGCTCATCTTTGATGATACCAGCCCAAACCAGTACTCCACCTCCACCTTGCTGGCGTCTGAGTGGGACTGGAGCTCTCTGCCCTTTACCAATCCAGCCACGGGCCCATCCATCTGGCCCATCAAGACTCACTCTCATTTCATCAGTCCATAAAACCTTAGAAAAACCAGTCTTGAGATATTTCTTGGCCCAGTCTTGACGTTTCAGCTTGTGTGTCTTGTTCAGTGGTGGTCGTCTTTCAGCCTTTCTTACCTTGGCCATGTCTCTGAGTATTGCACACCTTGTGCTTTTGGGCACTCCAGTGATGTTGCAGCTCTGAAATATGGCCAAACTGGTGGCAAGTGGCATCTTGGCAGCTGCACGCTTGACTTTTCTCAGTTCATGGGCAGTTATTTTGCACCTTGGTTTTTCCACACGCTTCTTGTGACCCTGTTGACTATTTGGAATGAAACGCTTGATTGTTCGATGATCACGCTTCAGAAGCTTTGCAATTTTGAGACTGCTGCATCCCTCTGCAAGATATCTCACTATTTTTGACTTTTCTGAGCCTGTCAAGTCCTTCTTTTGACCCATTTTGCCAAAGGAAAGGACGTTGCCTAATAATTATGCACACCTGATATAGGGTGTTGATGTCATTAGACCACACCCCTTCTCATTACAGAGATGCACATCACCTAATATGCTTAATTGGTAGTAGGCTTTCGAGCCTATACAGCTTGGAGTAAGACAACATGCATGAAGAGGATGATGTGGACAAAATACTCATTTGCCTAATAATTCTGCACTCCCTGTATGTGAGTAGTGTTACCACATTTATACTTCATTAATGACAAATTCACTGTTTATAAATACACTATTTCACCAAGAACAAGCAAGTTATTTAGGAACTGTTCATCATCATCATCCAAGAGCTACTTACAGAAGCATATTACATGAGATATTTCACATCAAAATGCAAAACTTTATCAAATATTCTGGGGTTTTTTTTTTATATTAAATGGTATTTTCCTATTTTAGTCAGATACATGTACAGAAACAAAATCCTCACCATGAGCTTATACATTAAATAAAAACACAGATATCAAAAATGGAGAAGCATTTCTCAGACAGAATCGTGCACTTCTGTAAAAATATCTTTGTGGAGATAGTTCACGTTTATCTGTTAGAAAAACAGCAGCAATGAGAACTGACTAATCAAAAAAAAAAAACCACTCAAAACTTTCATAGAAAGTGCCTGATGGTGGGGTTTTTGTACTACAACATCAATTATGTGTTGTCTTTCATTTTGTTGTTGTTCTTCTTTGATTCACTGAACTGAATTCTGTTTTTCTCATCTCGTTCATTTTATGCCAAAAAAAGAAACCTACGAAACAAGCTGTGAGATGCAGGTGAGGATAACAGGGAAGGAGGGAAAAGCCCAAAAACAGATCTTTGTGTTGTGTTGTTTTCCACTCCAGTGGCTGTAGGAATGAGTGTGTGAGCCTCCTACACACTGTCAGGTTTATCCCCAAATGAGATGCAGTTGCCGCCAGTAAAATCACTGGCCATCAGACAGCGTTAGATACTCCCACAGGTGCCTTCATTTCCCCTTACTGAAAGTTGTCACATATTTAAAATGTCATGAATGACATTTTTTAAGGACAGAAAGACAGCATCAGGGGAAAACAAAACAAAACAAAGACATTAGTTGTTTAAAACCCTCTAGATTTCTGGACTTCCTTTTCTCAAGGTCAGACTAACTGCTATAGATAACAAATGTTAGCTTCCAGGTTTAACACATAAAAATACAACAAAAAAAATTCAGTAGTTTTATTG